AAGATGCGTGTCCAACTAGGACTCTACATATATATATATGCCTATGATATGTGTATACTACATATACACGAAAACGCACGTACATTTTCTCTCTCTTATGCAAAACACCTCACAGTCGCAAACTTTTCATCAGCAAAGCATTCCACTCGTGAACGAGCCGACGTTATTTCTTTCAAACGACAACAAACGCTTACTTACACGCATAGCGCAAACTAAAGAAATTCACGCACTTTTTCTTTTTCCTTATGAAAGCAAATCGGTGCCTAAATTTGGTACTGGGTACCACAGAAACTTCACACGGTGGACACTAAGATGGGTAGGTACTTACATCCAAATCGATTTCCACTTTACCACAATTTTGCCACATAACTATATAGCTACATTATTTTTAAAAACAGTTGCGCGTTCATTTTACGTAAATGCAATATTGTTATGTTTATAATATTGTTTATGTGCGCGTGCGAGAAAACTGTGTCCGACGTTACGGGTACGACCTGCGACTAGGTACTGCTGGTAGTACTACTTACTATTACAGGTGAGCACTGATTTGGCAGGTGTACAAGAACGTTGTGTATGCCTACGAAGAAGGCCCCCCGGCCATTCTCAGGGGCTACGCATTAACTGGGTCCCCCCTTTCAATATGTTAAATTACCGTTCAGCTGATCATGGGGTCTGCTAAAACTAAAACTAGCCGAAATTCGAACCAGAATGAACTCATAATATCTTGTTTATAAACTCAGTTAATTCGGACCTTTATTTGGTTTTTACTTAAGTTTATGTAACCTATTTTTATTACAACATGGTGCGGTATTGACAAAACATTATTGTATGAAAATAAATAAAAGTAAAACAAAAATAGTGGTACGCAAGGGAAGAAAAAGTAGGGAAAGAGTGAATATAAAGATAGGGGACGTGAAAGATCAGAGTCAAAATAGGATTGCAAATAATTATATTGATGTAAAATCTACATCATTTATTTTATATCAAAATATTTACAACCCCATTTTGTTTCTGATCTTTTACACATTGTAATAAGAGAAAGAAAAGGAATCCATAGTTTCTTTAGCTTTGGATTCATCTAATAAGTGAATTTTTTCGAAACGTTTTCAAAGATTAGAAAATTAGATTAGATTAGAAAACCACAATATCTTGTAGTTTTCAGTTTACACACCTGGCGTATAGGTATCAATTCTATATTATTTTGCGGGGGATGTTTTGTCGTAATTCATAAAATTTCGTAGTTCCTTGTGGTGATTTGGCAGGTTCTGATATCAATTTGGAACTTCTAAATTCCATGGACCATGAAATTGAACCCGGAAAACAATATCGATCCAATATTTTTAATTATTCATTTCTAAGTTTAGATTTTTTTTCGGCTCTCTTCAGTTAAAGAATTAGAAGACATTCATGAAATGTCTCATTGTCCTCTTTTTTAACTTTTATTGCCTTCAATGGTCAATGTGAGCAACTTTCATTCATCATTTTATATAATATTTAATCGGTGATACAAAAATATATTTTGCATTTTACAAATAGAAAATACGTTTGGAAAAGTATTTGAAATAAAATACAAAATGCTTTTCTCAAAAAAGTATTTAAATGCANTTAATGGAACATTATTTCACGATTTTTTCCTCAGTTAGAGAGATGCTGACCTTTTAGAACAAGTTCTACCTCACGTGTCCACGAAGATTACGCTTTTTACTGAAACATCTTGGAACGTACTCTCAAACAAATAAAAATTTAATATCCTGCGACAATCACTTTTCACCGAAGGTGGACCAGATAAAGGGTGTACCAATAAAACAGCTCGTTTTAATTGTTTAAATTAACCAAGCATGGTACAATGATAAAGTTGCTTTTAAGATTAGACCAGATTTTCATTTACCAAAATAGCAAAACATGGTCATTATTAGTTAATAAGTATTTTTTTTTAGAAATTTTGTGATTTTTAAATTTGATCAACCCATTACAAGTTTATAAATCGCACAGAAAACTTCCTCTTTCTGATAGAAATATTCGCATTTGGTACAAAACAGATAAAAACCGAAGAGAATCTACCTAGTGAGGCCCTGTTCAATTGCATAAATATAAGAAGAAATGGGTGACTTTCGATATCTAAGAATTCAGATAACTCAGCATGGAAGGAGCAGTGGTGATATAAAACAAAGAATAGGTTGGATCTCCTTCAACAAAAAGAAGTTACTTCTGTGTCCGATAACGGTTAATTTAGAAATTGGAGACAGATTTTTAAAAATGTGCGTTTGAAATGCGGTGTAACAGGCGAATGAAGGGGATACCGTGGATAGAGAAGGTTAGAAATGAAGAGGTATTAGAAAGAATAGGAGAACATAGGACTCTATGGAAGTCAATAAGAAATAGGCGAGATAGGTTGGTAGGACACCTTCTTAGGCATGAAGGTCTAGTCAGAGACATATTAGAGGCAGAAACAGGAGTTACGAGGAGTAGAGGTAGACCTAAATTATATTACTGTTCGCAAATAGTTAAGAATGTGGGATGTTCTAGTTTTAGGGAAATGCGAAGATTAGCTCTAGATAGGAAGGAGTGAAGATGCGTGTCCAACTAGTCCTGACGACCTTATGATGATGATATTCCTTTTATAGAATTCAATCTTCATGCCATAATTTTTCCTATTTTCATCCTGATATAAACGATACTTGAGGTTCTTTAAAGACAAACGCAATGAATACACCGATTTTTCGATATTATATTTGGTTTTGAGTCGAAAATACCGAGAATGTCGTAACCGCTGTGTTATGAGTGTTCACTTTTTGTGAGACTGCGTCTTTTTTGATATGCTCCTACATTGCACCCATCTTCGTATCATATCACAGTAACCAAACATATGCTCACCTTAAAATTTTGTATTCATTAATAATCATTGAGCACTTAATTTAAAACAAAATTTTAAAGCAAGAAAACGGGCGATTTTCTCTGTTACTCTTATGCAAAGTGTGAGTTTACTCGGCATTTGATGTTCTAAATTAGGGATGCACCGGATAGAGATTTTACAGGCTAACTGAGTATTCTCGGTAAATTACTGGTTTTGTTTTTATTTAGTTTTTCCTCTAGTAGGGGAAATCGTCAAAAGACACCCCTTGAAGGGGGGTAGTGTCGAATTCGCCATAAATTACTGGCCAAATCGATGAAGCTCCTAAAGAGCGAGTTTATATAATATCCAAAAACAGGCAGTGTATCGCCCTCTAGTTAATATTTGCTGCTACTAAAGTATTTCATGTGTTAGACAAGGCCTTACTAGGAGTTCAATAAGATCATAATCACGATAAAATACAAAGAATTAATTATTTATTGCAAATGTGTTAAACTCGAGAGAATGCACGTATGTAAGTATATTTTTCTGATTGAGCCTGAGTAGTAAAATCATTCTTGGGGCCCAGTTAAGGTACCGCGAACCATTCTCAAGCTTGCATACCTTTTACCTACCTGCCGTCGATGTCTTCAGGAGGGCACGAAGGAAACTTCTTGTGGATTCTCTCGGTATGTGTAAATACGTCTGTGTGTGTATGTGTGTATGTAAAGAACAAGTCTTCGTCTTGGCCGGAGGATCAGCAACGTTGTGAACTCGTGTGTCCGATACTTACGCGATTTTTAGGACGACTTTTGAATGTTTTGTGAATTCGCCCTGGGACACACGACGACCCATTTTCCGAAATTTCCAACATTTCGATCGTCTCGTGAGAAAAATTTCTTTTCTATAAATACTTTTACTCGCGATTCAAACACGAATAAATATGTCGTCGTTATTGTATATAATTATACAGTGGAATTCGTTTATTATGACTTCGCCTATATTGACCAACCGCTTAATATGAAGTAATTGCAGTGTTAAGTTTAGTTTTCATATTAAATTCTCTATAGGAAAGTTTGGATATAATGACTCCGTTTAAAATGACATATCGTTTATTATGACTGATTCTCAAGAAATCATATCC